CTGGAGAAGAGGAGGCTGAGGGGTGACTTCAATGTTTATGAATATGTAAACAGTGAGTGTCAGGAGGATGGAGCCAGACTCTTCTCAGTGATGTCCAATGATAGGACAAGGGGCAATGGGTACAAGCTGGAGCATAGGAAGCTCCACAGAAACATGTGGAAAAAATTTTTCACTGTGAGGGTGACAGAGCCCTGGCACAGGCTGCCCAGAGAGGTTGTGGAGTCTCCTTCTCTGGAGACCTTCAAAATCCACCTGGACACATTCATGTGTGACCTACTCTATGTGATCCTGCTGTGGCAGGGAGGTTGAACTAGATGATCTCTAGAGGTCCCTTCCAACCCCTGACATTCTGTGATATTAACAAGCCTGCTAGAGAAGATAACAACTGAAGTCTTACCTATCCCATGCTAAAATACCACTGGTTTTTGTGGTTACAAGCACACATAAAGCAACACCATTAACTCATTCTAACAGTAAACAGCTTTTCATAAATAGCCTAAAACATGTTCGCTGGAGTATTTTTGCATCACAGCAGCCACAAGACAATTACAGTAATTACCTTTAACTGAAATCCAGTCTCATTCACCATTTCTTTCCATCCACCTTCCTAAAAGGAAAATAATGTTCAGTTAAAGTGATTTAAGAGTACCACAGCTTTTGCAAGTCCCTGTATCAGTCCACCTTCCCCAGGAAGCCTGGGTTCTGCTTCAGCTACCCTTCCCATGGCTTTTCAAGAATCTGGGTTAAGAATAACATGTCATTATGTTGTGTGTACATACCAACCTTCTCAAAAGACCTCTCTCCTCTTCACTACTCAATTACCTCATTCTATCAGCTGGGGGGCAGAAGCTGCACAGCTTCATCTAAAGACGTAGCTCAGGTCTTTAGAAAGAAGGGTAGTCAGCTGCTGCCTATTAGATTATCAGCAGCTCCACGGACCTTTGCAGCTTGAGGCAGAGACCATATAGGGGACATACAGGTGACAACTGTTCACAGTGCACATGCTCACATGTAGTGGCCGGCTGTCCACCGTTTTCAGTTCCCATACATTGGCTCATCTACAGACTACACCGTGTTGCAGCAAACATACCTGTGTACCTGGGAATCGCTCAAAGCACACAAAAAACCCCCCCACAAACATCTGACATTTCCTGAAGTCGAAAACTGCAGAATGAGACGCTTTCACTGACAACTGGATCACAACTTTTGAGACAAAATGTATGAATGGCTCATGATGCAAATCGCAAAGCTAAAGAAACGATGGATATCCAAACAGTGAACAGGAAGCCAGTACTGTATCTGCAGCCAGCAGTACAGCACGCTGACTATTTCAGCTTTAGTCCTAGAGAAGCTCTCCAACCATACACATTAAGTTCCCAATATGCTGTTCCAAAGAGATGGAAATTGTCTCTAAGGAGCCTTAAAGCTGACTGGAAAAAAGCGTAAGGTACATTAGAAAGCTAATTGTACAACTGAGCGAGCCGTTAAGAAGCTTTTAGATGAACAAGCCTCTTCCACCTCAAGTTTATTCACATTGTCTATCCTTCTTCTAGACACAGAAAGAGCTATGGGTCAATGGGAGAGAAGAAGAGCAAAAGGACATCATCTTAAAATATAATCATGGAAGAATGTATTTAGAAAGTATATCACTTTACCTGTGTTAAAAATGAATAAAAGATTTTGTCTTGGCAAAGAACAGGATGTGAAGCTACACGTAACAAGAAGTTTTCCAAACCAATTCTTCTTCTTTCCACAAAATCTGGGTCCATATTATCTGCCGACAGCTTATGCCAAACGAAGTCAGCCTGTTTAAACAGAAGAGTGTTAACAGTAAATAAATAACAAACACCACCAAGCAAGTTGAAGCCTCAGCTTCCTTACCCTTTTTTCTGGCAAAGGTGGAACAACAATATGAGGATAGGTTACTGACAAATAATTCCTCAACAACTCAAATTCACTGTAACGTCGCCACAGAGAGTCCACTGGGGCACACTGTCCCTCGCTCTGGGACTCAACAGCTCTGAAAGACAAAAGAGCAAATTTGAACATTAGTAAGCTACTGCCTTCTCCCTCATACCATCAGTACAATTATAGCAAAAGGTCCTAAAAATAGTTACCCAGTAATGATTGCTGCATAACTTGCTCATAATCTAAAGTAATCCCAATTAATTTCACGCCTACATACTTCATTTAAAAAACATTTATAATTTCTGCCTGATAGCACTCATATTTTTTAGGAACACAGTAGAAGTCAATGCATCTTCAGCATGCCACAAAGACACCAGTTGGTCACAGTTAAGTAAACAGCCACACATGACTTCATTCACAACACTATAATATTAGACATATTTCTCTTGGAACAGCATTAGGCTCTAAGCCAGCCCAAATTCATGAGCAGCTGAAGGATACAGAACCTTGTAAGAAAGGTTCCTATTCAAAAGGAAAGTCTTCACTTCAGACAGTAAACTTCAAAAATACTAAGAAATTTTGAAGGACTTTTTTTTAAAAAAGGTATAAAATTTAAAAGTACTTCCAAATTTTTTTTTGTTCAAAGTGCTAACTTATATTTAAGGACTAAGGACATGTAGTCTAACAAACTAGCTTAAGACACAGTTAGCAGGTACAAAATTGATGCATCTGAAAATTCTGCTGAGAACTTAAAGCAAACATCGCCTAGCAAGGTATTAAAGATTTCATGTTACTATAAAAGGAGAAATCATTGCATATTATAGGATTGAGAAGTAATATGTAGAAACTTGAAAAAAATAATTCTTCATTCAAGACATTTAAAGCAAAAGAAATACTTTGCACTATCATAAAATAAGCACCAGGTCAGTAACATTTCTTGGCAGTAAGCATATGCCAGAATAAACACAGAGAGAGAATTCAGACAAGGCATTTAACAGAAACCAGTGATGTCTACATCTTCATTAGTATTTATACTGACTAATTAGCAGACAAAGCACTGGCATACACCTACATGAAACACTGTGTTATGAGGTTATCACAGATTAGTTGAGGTTGGAGTGTGATTCCATCTGCTTTACCTGCCCCACCAAGTACTGACACACACTGCTGACGTGCCCCGAGCTGTTTCTTTCAGAGTCTGAACAAAAGCATCTCTCAGCCTCTCCCTGCACATCAGGTGCTCAAAGCCCACAATCACCCTCATGGCATTTCACTGGACTTGCTTCAGTATGTCCACATCATTCTTGTACTGGGCAGCCCAGAACCGGACACAGCAAGTTATGAACTACCAGTACTTACCCATACGGTACTCAATAGAGCAATTTACATTTCTTCCAGAAGAATTCACTTCATACAGTTCTTGAGTTCATAAGAACTTTCTGGAGTAAATGTTTTTAAAACCCATAAACAGCACACAAATCTATTTTTTTAAGCTATTCTTAACCTACAAGGTTGGATTTCTAATGACCTTACGGAAAACAAAAAAAATCCTGCGCCAGAGTAGACCCTATCACTTGATACACCTGAAGAAAATACAAGAAGCCTCTATCATCCATTTCTAAACTCTCATCAGAGAGGAACAGCCTTGCTACATTCTCTTGTTTAAAAAAAAAAGCAAACAAAAAACAAACAAAACATCCACATAGTTACAACCTGAGGTTGAAATAATACAATACACAGATTATGCAAAAGAAACTTTTTTTAATGAGTAAGTTTTTAAATGCTTTTTAATGTTTTAATGTTTTTTTAATGAACATTTTCTGTATATCCATCCTTCCAAAGGACATTTACTCCAAGTGACTGAATTCGTAGGAAAAAAAAATTCACATGGAGGGACAAAAAATTATATATTCATAAGCACTCAACACAAACTGCTGCAGGAAAAAAAAAAAAAAAAAGGTGAGCACGCTGCTGACAGCCACTAAATTGCGCTGCCAACACCCCATATAATTCTTCCCTATCAAAGTATTTTGACTCAATTAAGTTGCAACTGCAAACATAGGGTTTTTGAAGAGGGTAAGTTCAACTTAGTGCTGGGCTGACAGGCTATGCAGCATTCCTCCTTACATGAACATTGCACAATTTAAACATTTCAAGAACACTTCAGCTAAAAGCTGAATGATCTAACGATTCTGCCATTGCTGAGTTGGAGGTAAATTTAAATACATAAAGAATCAAGCTACTATGCCACAGGAGATGCCCAGAGAAGTTATGGTTAACCTCTTCCTGGAAGTGTTCAAGGCGAGGCTGGTTTGGGCTTTGAGCAACCTGCTCTAGTGGCAGGGGTGTTGGAACCAGAAGATTGTTAAGGTCCCTGCCAACTCAAACCATTCTAGGATTCCATGATTAGCTGTTTGGTTGAAAGCTGAAGACACAAACTTCACTCTCCTAGAGGAGAAACTCCCATCAGGGTAACTTTAAATAAAGTTTTCCAGCCCCTGAATACAAACTACTCAGAAAAGTTCATTAGGCTGTTTCATTTCAACAGAGCACATACTTAAATGTCGTCTTCTGCTTCCAACTCAAGCAATTCCCAACACAGTGCAAGCCTGATCTCATATTTATCACTTTCTGATTAACTTCTAACATCAATGAAGTCCGCACAGAAAACAACAAGGAGTTTATCTTTGAAGGAAGTTTCTGGTCCAGATATTCCTACTTCACTTTCAAGAGCACTTCTGTAGAAATAGAACTTCTTAAAATGTTAGAATAAATGATCTCTAATTTTGGTAGTATGCAACTGTAAACGGCCTCAATATAGCACTCTCATCAAATGCAATTACAGTAATATAAATTAGCAGTATAAAGTTAGGTAGCTTGTCTTCTGTAGTTGATCTGCCTTATCTTGCTCTAGCTTGTCATCTCTCCACGTACCCTTTTTTGCCAAGTCAGCTTTATTGCATAAAAGCTAATGTGCATTTTTCTGAGAACTACAAATTCCTGCAGTCAAGAGTCATATCATCATTTAATAAGTTTCAATAGTTTTAACACCACAAGTGTGAGAAAAGAACTAAAGGATAAGGCTCTGCTACAAACTAAGGAGAAAGAAACCAGGAAGAACGCCTTTACAAATTTCAAAGTGACTTCACAGATTCAAGTCTGTTTGGAGAACTACATATACTTTTCTTCCACAGTACTGATTACAGGTCAGAAGAGAATGCACTTACATTTCACATTGCTATGCTACAAATATTGAAGGCAGGCAAATACGCCAACAGGATCATCACATATTTTAATAGTGTAGCAGTTCATTTATCATTTGTAAGAGTTCAGGTCAACACACCATCAGTAAGCCTTCTGACAAGGGAATGTTCCAGCGCATGTTATACTCTTAATGCTTCATGACCGTTGTGCAAAGTTAATTAAAAACTACCAGCAACAAAGATCATGTGGGCCCTTAACTGTGCAATAAATTTCTCCACATGCCTGCTGTATCAGCTTTGTATTTATCAGACTTACACAAAACACATCAGTTATTTAAAAAAAAAAAGAAAGAAAGAAAGAAAAAAAGAGCAGTAACATAGCAGTCCACAAACAAATATCAAGCAGACAATTAAACAAGAACCAAAGTTTTTAAGAGGTCATCTTGGAGTGTAGCACTTCAGCAGGGAAGGACTGCAGCTTCACACGGAAGCATAGTCCTACATCAGAAGAAACCACCGCTACCCCAGCACGGAGAGGCAGGCACCCTGTTACTCAAAGTTCTGTATCCACAAGGGGCCTCAAGAGCCCAAGGAGGAAGGAAGCAGCCTGCAAAGCCAGATCATGCCACTCACCACATCTTCCCTGCTCATACTACAGAAACTAAGAAAGTTTACTACATCTAAAGCCTACTGGCAATTTGTTCTGACAAAACACATCTGTGGACAACAGGCTAAGCTTCTCTAAGTTAATAAATTTTTACAGTCCTTACGAGGGACACAAAAGCCTCACATTACACCCTGAAGAAAAAAATGAAATTACTACTCAAAATCCTTGAAGGCCAAACCTGCACATGTAGTTTGTTCTTTTTTAAACAGACAGAATCCAATAACCTCCTCAGCATAGTCTGCATAGACAAACTGATGTAATTTCTCAGATCATACTTACTTCTTTTATTCCAATGCGCATTTATTCTCACTTCTTAGGCTCTACAGAGGGACCTGGACAGACTGG